CACCGAGGCTGCGGCGCTCGCTCTCGGGGCACCGAGATGCTGCGGCTCCACTCGCCCACGCCACCCCGAGTTCCAGAGCCTGGATCTGAGCGGCCGGCTCGACTCGGGGCCGAAGAAGGGGTTGTCTTTCGTGCAGAGTTGCGGCCAGAGGACCCAAAGTTTTGCTTGTGTGTCCCTCCCTCCTCGGGTCCCTGTCGCCCACTGTGAGGCGCCCCTGTGGAGATCCTGTCGGCTTAATGGGAGGGAGCCGAGTAGGTGTGCACGTCCCCCACCCCAAGGATGGTGGGGACCCTGGTGACCTTGCGTCCTGGCCACCATCCCCTTCATCCTATCAGTCTCTGGTGGACCGTAGATCTTGGGGATTCTGCGGATGCCTCTGAGAGGTGAAACCAATGAGTCCTTAAATGCAGGTAAGTTGGGGGCAAGAGAAGCTGTGCCTTCCTATCTCAGGCTTCGGGGCATGCAAAACTCGAAACTCAGTCTGAGCCGCGGTGCCCCCCGGGTACCCTGCGCGATGCATGCCCCGGGCTCTCAGAACCACCGCGGAGACTTACCTCTCTCACCAAAGCAGGAGAGCTAAATTTCTCTTCTTGGGAAATGATGCTAGCGGGCCTATCCCTGTAGCAGTTTCCTGCGCTCCCTACGGTGAGATGAAGGTGGCCAGGAATAGCGCAGGCATGCTACCGCCAGGAATCTGATACCTAGGAGGACCCGCTTCAGGCTTAACTGCTCCAACTAGAAAGGGAGGGCTAGGTTTCCCCTGGAATTTGGACGTTCTGTGCTTTAATCAGGGTATCCCTCTGTCCCTAGATGTAGATAACAAAGACCTTAAAAAGTCTTCTGTCATCTTTTTGAAAATGTTTTTTTTTGTTTGTTTTTTTAGAAAGTACCCAAACTATGTGGGCGCCCCTCCACTCACGATGGATAATGTTTCCTCTATTTTACCAGCACTCTTTAGTTCTCACCAGTGCTGTTTCCCAAGTGCTCATCTGTCTCGTTGCTGAAATATTGATTTAAACTTGCTTTATATTGACTGAGTTCTGTCCTGGCTGGGTCATCTAAGGCTCTGGCACTTGGCATCCTGGGTCTGAAGGCCAGTGTTAGAATGGGTGATGAAGGGAGAGCTACAAATTTGCCTCAGCTGTGATGTTTGAAGTGCATAGTCTTATTTATGTCCAAGATGGGTAAATCTCACTTGCTTTTGCTCTCTTTGGGAAGGGTTCCTACACAGAACTACGGTGCAGATTTCACATTGTTAGGATCAGTGGTGGTAACAAATATTTATGATGTGTTGACCTCTTATGAGATGCTAAACACTGTGCTTGACATTTCCTTCCATCCATCCATCCATCCATCATCCATTCATCTTTCCAACCAACCTTATCTCTCATGGACCAGCCACCCTCAGGAGGGGAAGACATGTGAGATCTCTCTTGGACCTCACAGAGGTGCATGCTGTGGTCTCTGGAAGAAGAGAGGAAAGAAGCTTATCCACTCCTTAGAGAAACATGACGCATGTACAGTGACTGGCCAATGTAGTAAGTGCTGTGGTCTCTTGCAGCTTCGCTTGTTCATAGGAGGAACTGAAATAGTTAGGAGTGATCACAAAATGTGTCACAGAGAGGATGGGCTCTGTTCTGCATCCTGAAAATTGGGAAGGATTTATAATGACGAGATGAAGACTGGTCTCGCCAAGGTAGGGGGAAGATGATATCAGCATAGGCTTCATGTCTCTGCTGGTTTGCCTAGGATGCTGGAATTGTTCCTGGAGGTTTGGGGATGATGAGTTTTGCTAGCCAGGCCTGGGTCAAATGATGCAGTGAATGGCAGCCTATGGAGTCTAGATCTTGTTTGACATTAGGGAGCCACTGAGAGCTTTCTGGAGATAAGTTAAAATGTGACTTAAATTATTCTGGCTTAAGTGTCCTGGACATATTGGAGTATGGGAGCTGATTAGAAAAATAATGCTGAAATGTTCATGGTATGAAGAGCTGGAACTTGAACTCTGGGGGTGCTTGCTGGTGGAGAAGAGGAGACAGTGTCAGAGAACTCTCTGAACAAAACACTTGTCACAGGATAGGTTGTTTGTCTGAGAGTGAGTACCAGCAGAGGCATAAATAATCAGTATATCACTGGAACATTTTCCCTTCCCAATCTCCTTTCTTTTATCCCCACTATTCATGGTCTCTTAAGGTATTTATTCCTTTATTATTGTGCATGCAAGGAAGGTGCAAGCAGTCTCTAAAGATGGCCTCAGTAATCCCTACCTTCTGGGCGTTACATCTTGGGTGACTCCCTTCCCTTTACATTTGGATTGAGCCCAGGGCCTCCTGCCTGCTAGGCAGTCACTCTACCATCCCCAGCTCTGCACTTTTAGTGTGGGCTGGACCTGGTGACTTGATTTGAACTCTGGTTGGTGCTTGCTGGTGGAGAAGAGGAGATAGTGTTAGAGAATACTAACCAGCTGAATACTAACAAATGGAATATAGGAAAAGTAATGGGATATCACCTCTGGCTTAGGTTACAAAATCATGTGACTTGCATCCTGCTTGTTCTCTTGCTCTAAAGGAAGCCCTTGCCACGTCGTGAGCTGTCCTACAAAGAGATCTGTGTGGCAGGAAACCTCTGTACCTTGTGCCCAGAAGACTCGTGGCTTGTGAAGATCTGAGGTCCTTAGTCCAACAGGCAGGGAGGAGCAGAATCCTGTCCTTAGACATGTGAATAAGTTCACTTTCTGGGAACCAGTGACTTGAGCTTCCAGAATTCTGTCTCCTTTCCCGAGAGACACTTATATCACTGAAAAAAAGAAAAAAAAAAAAAGAAAGAAAGAAATCAAAGATGGCTTACTGTCCGATGTTTGGGACCCTCAATTACAGAGAAAAAAGTCAATGGTTTCATATTTTAACATTAGCTTACTTCCCCTGCAGAGTATTACCCAGGACTTCTGGGTAATAGTAAGCTATTATCCAAAACCCTGAAGATGGCATGACATTCTAGAAGTTGTTCCCTCCTAGCTAGGAGGATTTTACTTTGTGACATAGTAAAGTGTGGGCTGAAATCTAGCATCTCTACAAATATTGGCTACATTGCCGTGTTTAATTGATAATCAGAATACATGTGAATTGGTGCCGTTAGAGAGATGTGTGGTTGTGGTTTGTAGTCTAAACACTCCACAGTTTCTCCACTGACTAGAGGTTATAATCCCAAATTGGTGAAACTGTAAACCACCTATGACTTTGCTGGATAACACGGCTGTCAATTAAATTGCATAGCTGGGAGCAAAGAATAAAGAAAGCATTGCTCATCAAACTAGGTGTTTACATTTCACTTTGGATGAAAATTGAGGTCAGTTTGCTTAGTGTCCAGGTCAACATGGTGCATATGTATTGTCAAATATACATTTATATTCATATATCAACCATGCTTATGGCAAATTTACTGCAGATCTGAATTCCTTTTGGTAGTAAATGATTGCACATACTGTCAGAGTCAATAAGAATCTTATACACTCTTAATAGGAATAAAGTGACCTGCAAAACAGTAATTTAAAGCATGTTAGTATAATGTTTGTGTGATAAACTCTCTAGCAAAGGCCTCACACTCTCTTCCCCTCATGATTAATGTTTAGGAAGATAAAGGGGATATAAATATTTTTATTGTTTTATTATCTTTCTTAGAAAAATGACAGAGTGGTTGGTTTAATTAAAAAGGAGACTCTCTCCCATAGATCAAATAAAGAAATCCATTCTATGGAGATGACAATGGGAAAAATACCTATTTAATTTGAATAACACATGGTTCTGTAGAAATGTGCCTCTTGTATGTATCCTGCATTCACTTAGCCTGATTTCTGTGCTATTTTCATCATAGTATTGAACAGAAGAGAAGAGGGGAATGTGCTCTCTCATTTGGGGCTATTAAATGCCTGCGGGGGTTGAGATGACCTTGGCTTCCTACCTAGATGCTTGTTGGGAGTTACCTGGAGGCAGAGAGGAGAAAGAGCATGTTCCATTGAAATGAGGTATCCCTGGAATTGTTGGGTGTTCTTTGCCTTGGTTGAATCCATCCATCCCATCTGCTTCTCTTCTCTTGGAATGTATTTCCCCAACCCGCTCTCCCAGGGGATTTTGTTGGTGGAGGGGGGGGGTGTCATCACATACATGGTTACTTTTTCTAAAATCTCTCAGCATCTGGAGGGCACGTGTACCCTCTACCTTCCTTGTCGACAACTATACCTCCCTTTTTCTTGCCCCTCCTATCCTGATGGATTAAAAACAGGACTGGGCTAATAGACCCCCCAGTAGCAATTGGAGTAGAAAAGAAGAGAGGAATCCAGGATTGTGCTTACTGGTTACACGAGGGCCCCCAGCCATGTGCAAGTCTGGATACCGTTAATAAATGTGACTGGAAAAACATGAAATTGGCATTCCGACTGGGGCAGAGGAGCTTGAGTGGGAATGTGTTGTTGCCCTAACCCTCAGGAGTCCTCATGTGTGAGAGGCCAACCTTACGGGTGACTGAGTTACACTTCCCAGCTGGGTGCTGAGGCGCTCAGTCACAGAAATGGGTGTGTCTTGCTACAGCCCCATGGGTGAAGCTATGCTCACCTGTTCCTTTGTAATATAACCCCTTGCCCTGTTTAGGGTAGAATCTTCCATGGAAGTGCCTTGTGTGTGTCCCCTCCTCTTCCTGTGCCCTTGGGTGTGGCCTACCCAGGTGTCAGTCAACCTGCTGACAGTGGACATCATGAAGATAGAC